TTTTTAAATCAAAACTATCGATAGTGTCGACATTTTCGATAGTATCGATGGTTGTGACTATCGACAAACAAACTATCGATAGGCACAAAAACAAATTCGACGGCGTGCGTACCAAAACGCAAACCGCGAATATTAGGTTTGCCTGTTAGTATGTACATCAGTGGTCGGTCAAGTGAGCAGTACGCTCATCGCACGCATTCTTACGCTCTTTAAATCAGTCGTTGCCAGTGTTGCCAGAGAATTTTTTTTTTAAATCTGCTAAGTGATGATAAAATCTTCATAAACCCATAAAAAGGTTACTGAAACTTACAAAAAATCTTGTTTCTCTAGAAATAGCTTTATTGAAGATTTTACAACAAACAAACAAAAAGTTCAATTCCTCTATTAAAATTATTTTGTGTTCTATACAAAACCATAACACATTTTTTTTTAATAAAAGTTAATGAATTCATAACAGATTTACTTGACTAGTTCACAACACTTACGAGTACTTTAACTTGTATTTTTGTAACACTGAGAAAAAAGTGAAGTTACGTCAACTAAATATGTAATATGTTTGTCTCAACACATGATGTGGTTATATAGTTATATTATTTGATTATAGTTACCAAATCGTGTATTTAGAGAAATAATTTAACTGAACTTTTTCTGAGTGTACATATTATCCAAACATGATAATTAATAAAAAGTTGCCGAGAACTGTAAAACTTTACAGGTACGACATATGTATATAAGCATGTATATGTTTTATTTAAAGTCTTGTAAGTTGTACTTTTTAAGTATTTTAATAAATATTTGTTCTCATTTAAACCTCACTCGCGACCGTACTTTTTAAATAAACATTTGTGTAGGGTGGCCAGATATTATAGGGACATAATCAGTACAGTGGGGATCAAAAATCAGTACAGAGCCATAAAAATCAGCTCATTTTAAGCGTATTTTTTATTATTAACAATATAACAACCAAATAACAGCGCATTAATTAAAAAAAAAATAACTAATAGACTTTTAAATACGTATAGTATTATTAATACAAAAATTCATTACTATAAAACAAATCAATGATATTACGTATGTATGTACAGCTGTGCTCAGGAGAATAGTAGTAAAATTTTTTCTTTCCTTACTTAATTTAATTTTTTTAAAAAAATATAGTTAATTCTATAACAAAAGACATGTGAGTTGAAGTCTCAAGCTTTCTAGAAAATTTATAAGAATTGAGAAAATAAAAAAAATTTGTAGCCCATTCAGTTTCAGTAGAAGACGAGCTCGAGTCGAGTAAAGCTACATATATCATATCCAAGAGTCGGTAGTTTGCACCTTTTCCAAATTTCTAGAACTTACATTGCACCGTAGCAGTAGTCGTCTTAAGTCTGAAATACTGACAGCCGATTTCTCAGTGGATGTTTAATTATAATCGAAAGATTATCTCTTATTGTCATCTTCTCAGTGTACTTAATATATGATTAACTCACCACCACCTTTCGTAAGATTTATTAATGGCGAAACCAGCTTTTCCTGTAAATCCTGTAAAACCTGCAAATCGTGAAATTGGGTTGGGTTGAATCCAAACAGTTTGTTATTTTGCGAAATCCTAGGAACGAAACAATTGCAAGCTGACACCTTTTTAATAATGGTTTAAATTTAATTAATACTTTCAATCTGCTCACACGTATGAGTTGTCAAAAACCATTGTTTTGAACATGTAAACCTCAAGTAAATGTCAATTACACGAATTTACAAAAGTATGTAAAAATCACTACAAACTCAAAAAATCAGTAGATTTGCGTACTGATTTCGGGCTCTTAAAAATAAGTGGAATAGAAAAAAATCAGCACACCTACTGATTAAATCAGCGCATCTGACCACCCTACATTTATGTAAGGAATATCACGTAAGGAAAAAACTTTCAGGATCTGTGCGTTCATCATCGTTATCGGATGATGATGATGTTTCTATAAAGTCAACTATAGAAAGTTTAATTTGTTAATTAAAATTTATGAATAAATTTCCTTTCCGTTTTGTTGCTGCCATCTTCACTGTGCTGCTGACATCTTCACTGTGAAGATCTTTCGTATGGAGTTTTATTTTGTTGTAATTACCTTCATGTGAATATTTTTCTGATTATTTTTGAAAAATATCTTAATTTTGAAGATAAATAATACTTCTGGCAACACTCGTCGTTGCACTGACAGCAACGGAGCATCATAGGTGGGGACCAGTGTTGCCGTTTTAGCCCTTTGGTGGCTAAAATTGACTACCAAATTTTTTTTTTGGCCACAAAAATTTGAAATTGCCCCTAGCCCTTTTTTTAGTCCTTTTCAAAATTTATTCATCATTGACATTAAAATTTTTTTTTATGATTTTCATGAATTTAACTCTTCGCTCATAAAGCGAACGCCTTTCCTTTAAGGCAAGTAAACATATGTTTATGTATGTTCCTTACGTTTCTGGGCCGTTATCGTATCCGTTAACGATTTAACTATACATTAAATTATGTGTTACACAAAAAGTTTTTTGTTGAATAAAATATTAATTCTTTTTAGAGTTCATTGTTTTTCTATACCAGTAATTATAGAAAATGTTTGGGTGTATACTTACATATTTATACTAGCAGTACCCCGGTGTGCTTCTCTACACCAAATATTGAAAAACGAATGAAAAGTCCTAGAATTTTTCTATATGAAAATTTATCATTTGTTTTATTTCAAAATTTTTGATTCTTTATTTTAAATCTTAATCCAACACATTTGGATATACAACATTTTTTGTTTTTCCATCTTGGGTATGAATAAATAAACAATTTGGAATGCCAACTCTTGAACAGGCCACGTATAGCTACTAATTCCAGTAATCTACCACAAATATTTCAAGAGATATACCAGAAGAAAATTTTTGTTAGTATGGGTGGTACCACGCCCCCTTTTCCGAATTCGGGGAAACTTAACCCATCCGCATAATAGCCCGACTATGCAGTATAAATTTGGTTGAAATCTTGCACTTATTCTTTATATATAAGATGTGAGGTACCACGCCCTCTTTTCCAATACCGCCCATTTTTATCCATGAGTATGGAATTATTTGTTATACCTCTATACCAACTTCCAGTACTCTACGACAAATATTTCAAGAGATATACAACAACAAAATTTTAGTTAGTATGGAAGGTGCCACACCCCCATTTACGAATTCGGGCAAACTTCACATAAACCATATGCATGATAGCCTGAGAATTTTTATATTTTAGTTAGTATGGGTGGTGCCACGCCGAATTCGGGAAAACTTCGCATAAACCATCTGCATGATAAATCGAATATGCCACATAAATTTGGTTGAAATCTTGCACTTATTCTTTATATATAAGATGTAGGTAAAAAAATTTAGCTACCATTTTTAGCCACAACAACGATTTGTAGCTCTTTTTTAGCCCTTTTTTAGCTGGAATTTAGCTACCACTAAAAGGTTTCGCGGCAACACTGGTGGGGACTGCGCTGGTTATTTTGTCTTATGCGGCACACATACATACACATTTATATACGATTAAAAATTACCTTACAAATAGAGGGCTGTTCAGAATATTGCGGAAATGATCTTGGATTTGCATTTGCAAATTTCATACTTGCTACCATGGCCACCGTTTGCATTTCATTGTAGGGAATTCTTTTGGTGAAATGCAATGCCTCTTGTGGCATTTCTCCATAAAAGGAGAGCGGAAATATAATGTCAAAGGGCATTATAATATTTTAGTTTCCTATGTATTATTTCTTTTGATATACAACAACTATTTTCTTATTTTTATTTTATTCGTTAAGCTTTAGAAATCGCAAGGACCTTTTTCATTATTTCTGTTGGTTGGAAACGTACTTTGCCATTTTTCTTGAGACCTGCAGACTAATTTAAAAGTTTTGATATACGATTTTTTTCTAAGTTCTTTTTACATGCACTTTTTGGTTTTATTGGGAATTGTAGCAAAGCCAATACAAGGAGATAGCGCCAGCACAAAAACAAAAAACTACACTAACAAATTATACGCAAAATGACAATGATAACAAACTAAGATTTACAAAAAAAAAAGTTTAACAGTCGGCTCAGTTAACTCTTGAAATCAGCTGCTCCGATAACAACACCTTGTAGACTAGCTGTACAAAATAAAGCTATTCCTTCATATTCTCACACGTTACATTTACTCGATACGCTTTGCTTTTACACCACTGTAGCGCAAATTGCTCTGCGCTCACCGACCCAATCTCACTTTCAGTTTTGCCGACCATTGAATGCAAGAATGATAGAATTGTATTCTCTCAATCGTGCATTGAATGTACATAGAAGCAGTGTGACCAGATGACAACAAAGTGCAATGCTAAATTGGTTTTGAGGAAAGGTTAGAAAAAGTTATACCCTGTGAAAAATGAAGTTAAAAATAGTTCAGTATATTCATTCCTTAAAAAGTTTTCGCCAACTCGATAAGTTCCGCGAAACCGATTATGAAATATTTTTAAATCATTCTCATCAAAAAACAAAATAACATATTTCAAGTTTGTAACGGCTTCATTAGGATACCAAGAACCCAAAAAAATGTTCGAATAGAAATATGAATGCACTAGCCAACAAATGCATTTTTTTTTTTTAAATACAGTTTAAGGCAACTTTCGTAGTACTATTTCTTTATATCTAAGAAAGGCTAAGAAAATATGTTCTCAAGGAAATGATACCTTGCTTTATAATTGTAATATTTGAAAGGAAAACAGTAGCTTTTGATATATTAAATATTTTTAATATGGCAATTATTTTTAAAAGTTCCGGTCCGATTTTAATTATGAATATTTGGCCAGAAAAAAGCTACGAAGTCAGACCGGCAATGCTGACGCTGTGGCTTAAAATGAAATGCCCAAGCTAGCCTCAAAAAGATTAATCTGGTAATACTGCACAGACGTCTAGTGAATTAGTTGAAGTTGAAGTGAGTTTGTTTTTGGTTTCTTCTTCTCTTATTTTCGGAGAACCACTCACATATTTTGTAAAACGAAACGTTAGTACATGTGTGGACGCTTACGTAGATATAACGAAGCCGGCCGTGCGTGCCGTGCTGTATTATTTTTGTATATCGCATATGACAATAAATTTATTTTAATCAAATATGCTGAAAACCAGGGCCGAAAAGGCTCGTGAGTATCGGCGAAGACTAAGAGGAAATAAGCCTAAACCACCGCCAAAAACTTCAACAGAACGTGTCCGTGAATTTCGTGCACGCCGAAAGGCGTTATTAAATGAGCAAGATAGTGATTCCGCTACGGATAATAACGCGTCCACAGTGCAAAATAGTGAAAACGTTTGTAGTAAGTACCTACTTCTGTATTAACCCATTTCGTCCTTAGTCCTCGTTGCTCATATGCACTAGATCATATACATATCCTCCATGCATCATAGGTATGCTTATTTGTTACTTTGTTTTCAGACAATTTCTCGGTGGATGAATTCGAGTTGCAAGAGAATGCTTCTATTGGTTTTAATAATGAAAATTATCATTGTGAGTGCTCGAATATTTTTCTACATATATATACACAAAATTTACTTTTCAAATGCATTGGCACTAATAGCTCATATTATGAATCACAACTCAGGTAACTCTACAATGGATTTAAAGCTTGAATTTTCGGTTTCCCCCACGCATGATAACGCGTTCACTGTGCAAAATAGTGAAAATGATCGTGGTAAGTACCTAACTGAATATTAACGCATTTCGTCCTTAGTCCTTGATACTCATATGTACTAGATCCTATACATATATTCCATGCATCACATGTATCCTTATTTGTCATTTTGCTTTCAGATAATTTTACGGTGAATGAGTTAGATGTGCAAGAAAATGCTTCTATGGGACATAATAATGAAACTAATAATTGTGAGTGCTCGTGTAATTTGGTACACACATAGATACTTCCAGATATACAAAATTTACCTTTTAAATGCATGGGTGCTAAACGATCATATTATGAATTACTTTTCAGGTAGCTGCCCAGCGGATGTAAAGCTTGAATTTCTGGACTGCCCTACGCATGATAACGCGTCCACTGTGCAAAATAGTAAAAACGTTTGTAGTAAGTATCTATCTACTTGAATATTAACGCATTCCGTCCTTATTCCTTGTTGCTCATATGCACTAGATTATATGCATATCTTCCATGCATCATTATGTTTTCAGATAATTTCCCGGCGGATGAATTAGGTATGCAAGAAAATGCTTCTATTGGAAATAATAATGAAAATGATCATTGTGAGTGCTCGAATATTTTTTTTTATACATACATACAAAATTTACTTTTTAAATGCATTGGTGCTAATAGGTCATAATTATTATGAATCACTTTTCAGGTAACTTTCCAGCGGATGTAAAGCAAGAATTTCTGGATGCCCCTAATCATGATAACGCGTCTACCGTGAAAAATAGCGAAAACGGTTCAGGTAAGTACCTACGTGACTATTACCAGATTTCGTCCTTAGTCCTCGTTGCTCATATGCACTAGATCATATGTATATCCTCCACGCATCACATGTATCCTTATTTGTCATTTTGTTTTCAGATAATTTACCGGTGGATGAATTAGACGTACAAGAAAATGCTTCTATTCGACCAACTAATGAAAATGATGATTGTGAGTGCTCGAATATTTTTGCTTATACATGAAAGTGTATATACAAAATTTATTTTTCAAATGCTAATAACTGATATTGTGAATCACTTTCCAGGTAACTTCCCAGCAGATGTGAAGCTTGAATTTCAGGACCTATAATTTCTTCGAAATAAAGAAGAATTTAAAAATAAAAATACACCTGCGTTCTTACCATCACTGGATGAAAGACTTGCCTCGCCGTGAAATACGGTTGAGACACGTCCATGGGCAATACGCAATTTAGATGCAAATTATTAATGTGCCAGTCGACTTGAATAATATGCTGAAACATTTACCTCGAAATATTGATGATGATCATTATATAAACGTTCGTATAAAGAGGAAGACAATTCACAAATCAAGCTATTTAGTGGGACTCGTAAATGAAAGAAGACTTCGTTGGCGTCAATACTTGCTTCAAACACCACTTTATGTTATGCACGATAAAAAAATTTATGAAGGATTCCGGGCATGCAGTGAAATGGTACTCCCTCAGCAAGACCTCGAAGGAGCGTTTTTGGAGCACTCCGGGTATGGATTAAAAAAGGAAGGAAGGTGAAAATGTTGGACCAAAGTGTTTCAATGATAAAATTAATTTTGGGCGGGACGAAGTATGCCGGGTCTGCTAGTATTATAATAATTCATTTAAACGAATTGAATTTTATTAAAAAAATGTGGCAACCCTTGTGAAAGGCTTCAATATTATTCAGAACTTTCAATCTAAAGGTTTCTTAACAATATTTCGTTCGACAACCATATTTTAATTCTTCAGATAGCTTGCGTATAATTAATTTAAATTTGACTTTTCAAAAAATGGCAACCCTTTTCAGGATATATTCAAACTACAGCTTTTCTAATCCTATTGACATCCAGTTTTAATATAATTTTCAAGAAAATAACTCCCTTAATTGAAGTTGAATTCAATTTTTTTAAAAGGTGGCAGCCCTCTTCCATGAGTAGATAATGATTTTACATATCTCCATACCAAGTTCCAGTAATCTACCAAAAATATTTCCTGAGAAATACAGTATGAAAAAATCCGTTTGTATGGGAGGTGCCACGCCCCCTTGTCCAATCGAGATTAAAAGTATCGTATATTTTAAGTTGGGATAAATGACAGCAGTGTACAAAATTTCATAATGATCGGTTGAGTACTTTAAGCGTGAAAGCGTAGCAAACAAACAAACTCACTCTCTGATTTATAATATTAGTAAGGATGTGTGACCGATATGTAATGTCTGGTAATAATTAAATTAATTAAGACAATGTCCAAACGAAAACTCATAAAAAACAATCCGTAAGAATTATTGCTTAGTTAACAGAAAATTCTGGTTTTGATAAAGGAAATATATTAATTAAAGTCATTCGTAACAACCAAGAACATCATTGTTTTATTTAGAGTACTCAGCATATTGTATTTAATTGTGGACATAATTTAGCAAAACTCAAAGACAAATCACATGCAATTCACCGAGGTATAGATAAAAATTCTTTTAATACTGAGTCAACATTAACATCCAGATTGCGATGACTATTGAGAAAAGCTAGCCCATTTTGTGCTCGTTCTCTGCCCATGCCTGCACATTAGACTGCGCTTTAGTTGTAAGGAGAAAATATTTTGTTAAGCTACAAAGCAAGACTCCCCCTAGAAATGTTCCTTTGTTCATGAAAACGTGCCCTGCGGAAAATCGGTCAACGGAACGGACGTGCCTCGAAAGGCAGTGGAAAATTCAATACATTGTAATGGCACTTGATGTAGTTTTGCCATCCCATGTTAAATATGGCAAATCTATTTTTAAACCTCCCCAACCTTTAAAGGTATCGAGGTTTTTTCCACGTAAAATTATAATTTTATAGGAATTCAGAAGTTAAATTTTAGCCAAGTAAATTTATGTAGATCAAATTATAGAGAATTTCATTTGCCACATTTTTTTTATACAAACTTACTTACTTTTTCAACCATTTCTGATAAAAATGCGTAGCGTATTAAAATGCCAAAGTTGTAGGGTACTTCTCTCTTTTAGTGTCGGGTGGGACAAAATTCGTAAAGAAAAATCTAATTTACGGTTAGTTTGGATGCCATATTTGAGACTCCATGTTGAATTTTCCAAAAGGCCTCACGGCTTTTCTGTAGAAAAAAAGCGGAATTCTGAATCTTTGCTCTTTTTTCATGCATAACACAGCCCAACAAAAAATAGAAAAATTTTGGGACCGCAAATGTTAAAGCTGCTTTTATTGTTTTTTTTTGTGCTGATTACGAATCTGTAAGCATAAAGTTCCCATCAGCTCCAGATTTTGAAAAAAACGAGGTCAGAGTGTCAAAAAATCGCGGTTTTTGCAATATTTTAGAAGCTCTAGCAAAGAAACAAACGGTGATAGAACCTTCCTGTCTCAAATTAAAGCTAGATCTCTCTACCACTACCTTTGAAAAGAGATCTTAAATAATTGTTATGTTGAAATATTTTTTACCATTATTATGCATATTTCCCTCCAGAGAGGGGCGGGTTTAAACCCCCGAAATCCCCCCTTGCAGCCGGGCCTGCTTTAGGCTAATATTAAAACTTTGCATTTAATAGAAAAATTTGCTGGTTCTGGAAAATAATATAATAGATCGAGTGCAAAATGGTTCCAAACCTCAAAGGAACGTGTTTCATAAAAATATAACAAATAGTTTTATACCTGGAGGAAATAAACAACCCATTTCTGAATGACAACTCTCGGGAAATTTTTCTCTTTTCACTTTCCTCCTATTCCAAATAAACTTCAAAAAATGGGAATTTGTTTTTCGCGTAAAAAGTAGTTATTACGAATGTGAAAAAAGAGATGAAAACATTTCTCGAGAGTTTTCCGCCAAGAAATTTGATGAGAGTCCTTATCAAAAATATAAGCAACTAAATTTTTGCATAATAAATGGGATATTTATTATTTACTTTTATTAAAATTATTATTAAACTAGCAACCCGCCCCGGCTTCGCACGGAAATAAAATATAAGGCCTATGTCACTCACTGAAAAAATGATTAAAATCGATCCCGTAGTTTTGATTTATTCATTACTGCCCGTGGCCCGCACGCGTTACATTTGGAGTAAAACAATTCCCCTTTCTTTATACCATGAAGATTTCCTGCTATCTTTGGAATATCTAAATTCATACCCTACATTTTAACATATTTACTTTTTGCATTTTTACATATTTATTTTATTTTTACAACAACAATTAATATATTACAGAATGTCTTTATATACAACGTTCACAGCTTTCTTGTCATTAGACAATACAAACATGTTTTCTCTTGAGGTTACTCTTGAAAGAGCGACATACAGTTGGCCATGTGAAAAACAGTCAACGCTCAAATCTAAGCCTGCAACGTTGAAGGTTTGACCCTGCGATTTATTAATGGTCATTGCAAAAGATGTCTTTACCGGAAATTGTAAACGTTTAAATTGGAATGGTAAATCCGATGGTATCATAGGGATTCGAGGAATCAATACATCTTCTCCGGTACCACATCCTGTGAGTATTGTGCACTCTATTATGAAAGTTTTCAGTGATTTTACCAGCAAACGCGTGCCATTGCAAAGTTTAGGTGGATTCAGGTTTCTTAATAAAATAACAGGACAACCTACTTTCAACACCATTTTGTGAGGAGGGAGTCCAGACGGGTTCAAAGAGTTTAGAAATTCTGTAGGAAAATGAACAGCTTCTTCCAAATCGAGAACAGTATCGACCGAGTAGTATATTTTCGTCGCCGCATTAACCTTTGAAAGAATCAAGTTATTTACTTTATCTACTTATATATCGTTAGTTGGTGACAGAATAGCTCTTTCTTTAAACCAAGATATTGTCTTATAACTTATGTTATCAATGTCAGGATAGACATTGTTGACTAACTCTTGGATGTTGTCTATCAAAACACAAAGGTTTTCTAGGTTAATCCTTCCCTCACTTTGTGTAAATTCTCCATTGCCAACTTTTAGCAGCATCTCTGGAAATAGCCTGTTCTCACGTGAAGATGACGAAACCCTCATATTAGTTTTAAGCTCTAATTTATTGACATGTGACCAAAGGTTGGACCTTTTTAGGGAAGCATTTATTTCATCAGCTCTTGTTCCTCGAGTCACAACTGGTAGGATTTGACGGAAATCTCCTGAGAACAGAATTGTACATCCACCCATAGGTGAATTTTTGTTGCGCAAATCGCGCATTGTCCTATCCAGTGCTTCCACAGACGTCTTGTTTGACATGGTAGCTTCGTCCCAGACTATTAATGAGCAGTCACGCATCAATTTTCCTGTATTGCTCTGTTTAGAAACACTACAGACGCTGTTATCATCATCGGTGGCGATTTTCAGCGGGAGCTTGAATGTAGAGTGTGCGGTTCGGCCTCCTTCCAAAAGCGTAGCGGCAATACCGGATGACGCAACAGCTAACGCAATTTTTCCGGTGGATCTCACTTTTTTTAAAAGCAGATTGATTAAAAAGGTTTTTCCTGTGCCTCCTGGGGCATCAAGGAAAAACAATTTCACTTCATTGTTATCAACTGTTGATAGTAATGCAGTGAATACTTTTTTCGATGTTTAATCGTGGCTCATCTTGAGCTATATTTTGTAAAAGTCTCGTTTGATCGTATGATGTTTCTCTTGTGTATTCGGCACTGTTAGTTAAATCTGAGTTAGTAGTATTAGCTGGCATCGGCAGCCCAAAATCCTTGATCGATTTACCCGAAAGTAGTTGCACTACTTTGTTTAATTCAAATAATTCTTCGTCAAATATGTTTTGATCATATTGTACATCATCTGAGTTTAACTCTCGCCGTCGCCGAATCAGAATATCACTGGCCATATTTTCTTGAAATTTATTCCATAGATTGCCTTTCGATTCGTCCTTGAATTTCAATGCAAAGCAATGTTCACACACTACTGACATAGTACCTATTGATACTATATGATCGTCCTTGTAAGAAATCAAAGGATCGTAGTTCAGGGCATAATTTTCTTTATTTACCCATGAATTAGTAACTCGTGCTGATGATTCTCTGGCTCTCTGTATTCGATGTCTATCCCTATCTCGGGTGCGGCGAGCCTCACGCTCTACTGAAGATTCTCTCTCTATCTCAGCTCTATATCTATCCCGAAGCTGACTGAGTCGGGCCTCACGCTCTACTGACGATTCTCTGGCTCTCTGTATTCGATGTCTATCCCTATCTCGGGTGCGGCGAGCCTCACGCTCTACTGAAGATTCTCTCTCTCTCTCAGCTCTATATCTATCCCGAAGCTGACTGAGTCGGGCCTCACGTTCCGTTGACGATTCTTCATCTCTTGCTGAACGTAGTCTTCTGGCGTTCACTGTACTTCGACCTATGTCCGAACGACGACGTCTTCCAGACATGACTTTACAATTTCAGTACAAAATTTACTCAGTTCTATATGTATGATTAACTATGCACAAATTGCCATATTATTAGTATGTGCCGCAGTAAAAAATATGTAAATACTTACCATTTAGAAACAAAAGATAATTACTGATGTAATATCTTCAAAAAT